AGGTGGTGGATGCCCCATCCCTGGAAACATTCCAGGTCAGGTTGGATGGGGCTCTGAGCAACCTGATCTAGTTGAAGATGTCCCTGCCCACGGCAGGGGGGCTCGACTACACGACCTTTAGAGGTCCCCTCAAACCCAAACCATTCTATGAGTCTATGATTCTAATTCTACAGGGCATCTTTAAGCACCCGTGTTTCAAAACACTGCCATTCTCCGTATTTCATTTTTTTCTGTACATAGCTAGCTCTAGAGATCAAAGACACAAAACCATCAGAAGACCAGCACAATGACAACACGGGGAGAACACGAAAATATGGCCACAGCTCTGAGACAGCTCTTGGATAAGGTTGCTCTCCATATGAGTGAAGCTAAGGCATGACGCACAGGGACTCCCTCCCCAGCCTCGCCATCATATCAGCGCACAGAAAAGCAACACATCACCAAATCCTGCTTGCTAGCTTTCTGTAGGATGGTTGTGTACAACCTTGTTTGGCACAAAAATCAAGGATGTGGGAGTGAAAAAAGACAACTAGCCAGACCACCAGCTATGCTTGAGTAGGTAAACAGGTGTTTTTTTACTTGAGTTAGATAAGTGGTATTTCTAATCACGTTAGCACAGGCACTTAAAACAATACTGCTGGCAGGGTTGTAGCTTGAGAAGAGCTTTGAAGGAATAAAAGGCCTGTTCAGGAAGGCTTTGTTTTGGAGAAGAAGGAGCTCAAAACTTTCAAAAAACAGCTCCCCCTTTTTGCAACTCAGTCCAAAAGAGGGTGAAGCTTCTATAAATGAAAGCCAGGAAAAAAAAACATTTCTCAAGGGTAAAATTTTATTTGCATCTGCCTGAGCCCCATCCTTCCACGTGCAGGTGACCCTCTCCCGCAGAGATGCTCTTACCAACTGCTTCCTAAGTCCTGTTCCCCTGGTCACACAAGACTTTCTTCTAATCTGGAAAGAAAAGTGAGACAACTGATTAGTACTGGGAAGAAAACTATTTCACTATCATGCCTAAGAACACAGACACCATCAGCACCATGAGCTGGTGACCTGCAGTCTCTGAACTGGGCTGTACGAACAGGTACAAAAGCAAGTGTTGATTCCTCAAAACATCACTGCTGAGTGTAGGAATAGCATCTTCTTTTATTTAAAAGAAAGCAGATGTGAAGCTCTAAAGCTGCTAAAGGGTTTTAAGACTTCCAGATTAGCAGAGGAGGGTTATAATTGGTTGCAAGATACCTGTGAAAAGTAACAAATTAAAACCTGCGACGGGAAAGGGGAATCACTTATTTAACTGTCCTGCCTTCTTTAGGATCCTGAACCTGTCATGGGAGGAACACTCTGGCCACAATCCAGTTAAGCAGTTCAGTTTACGTCAAATTTGAGAGAACCTGGAGAGCCCTGCTCGTTCAAGATCTTCACATTTCTCACCAGCAGGCTGTTTATCTCTTGCGCTTGCGTACACACGTACACACCCCCCTACCTTGCAAGAACTTCCACTTTTAGCTTTTATCCTAAGGACTACCCTTCTAGAAACACAACCCCTCTTGGCTATAAAAGCATCCAATTCTCCTGCAAGGGAAAAGTGCTGCTGCAACACCAAGAGGCAGGTCCTGCATCCGCCGAGCCCCAGGCAGCTTTCGAGATGCAACCCAGAGCTGCACCCACAAGCTATATGGTTTTACCCGCAGACACTCGCATGATGCAAGATGAGCATTAGCCAGATAAATTGTGGATTCCTTAACATATCCATCTACCTTGCAACAGCTATTAAGTATGCAGTATTTCCTAATTTACTCCATTACAAAGAAAATGCAGTGTCCATTCATCAGTCTGCTATCACAAAAGGCCTTTTAATTAATGCACCTACTTGCTTTGTTCAATTAACGCCAACGAGGAAGCCCTTTTTCAGACACTGCGTTTAGCTCCTATAATGCTCTGGTCACCATTTGCTGAATACGATAGTATTTTTAAGGTATTAATAAACACTTGTTATATTAATGCTATATACTTCCTATATGCATGCTCTATATACAAAGCTCACTAAAAAAAATGCATGCATTTTCCCCAGCCAGAAAAATTCAGAGATAAAATTGCAGCAATGATTTGTATCTGCCCAGGGCAGCAATCCCAGCCGTCGGTGACCTCTGTGCAAACATACCAAGCCAATTACACACTGTGACAGCAGACTTTCCCCTCCTGTATCAGCAGCTTCTTGTTGCTGGCTGCGAGAAACATCAAAAGGTAGCACAACAAATATACGCGTTACCGAGCGCTTCAGGCTAGGGACAACCAGCCTAGAGGTTTAATCAAGATTTGGATCAAATTGTGCGAGTTGTTTTGTAAACATTGATCTTATTGAGTTGTTACAGCTAGAGGATGTAATTCCCAACTACCTGCCCATTTAACCTCTGAAAATCATCATCAGGCAACTCAGCTCAATCCTTGTCCTCCATCGCCTCTTGTTTACCATAGTCTTCATTAGCAGATGAGTTGCAATCTGTGTACCCCACCTCATCCTTCAGCATCCTACACCTGGGACATCCCCACCAGCACTCTTGTGTCCTCTTGGTAAGGTAAAACTAGCCCACGGGGCAAAGGGAAACTTTTAAAAAGCCTCCAACCACAGCTAGCAGCTGACAGAAGAAACGTTAGCAGCTTCTTAGAGATTAACGGGCAGGACAAGGCGATGTGCGGCCTGCCAGTTTGCCTTGTATTGTCTAGGACATCCCAGGTCCAACTTCTTGTTGAGCAACACCATCACTGCTTTTTCTGCTGGGTGTCCCAAAGCACCTTTACTTCATCTCCTTTCTTTAGGAAGGAAAACGAGCAGTAGTGGCTGAGAGCTGGGAATTCATGACTTCAGCTGCCAGCCTCTTCCACTCCAGGAGCAGAAATTTAGGAAGAGTATGATGAAGAGCACATAAGAGACCCCTGGGTTTCTGAATCTTAACATCAGTGAGAGAGGCACTTAGGTCTGAATTTCAACCCTCATATGCTCACCATTGCCATTTATTGCAAGGCAGTGCTAAGAGCAGCTAAAACCCAGGTGATTCTCCATCAGAAGAAAGAAATACAGAAGCATGCACTTAAGAGAGCCTGAAGCCTCACACGGGCTCTCCCAAGCAACAAGATCCAAAAATCAGCTCATCCTACCAGTGCCCACAAAGGCACAGTAACTCCAGATCCCATCTGTTACCCAAAAGGGTAAGCTATCCTCTCCTCCTCAGATGTTTACAGGAGGGAAACCACTTCAACAACCCAGCTCACCAGTCAACCAGGTGCTCTGAGTCTTCTCCAATCTGCTCCACCTACGCTTGCGCGTGCAAAACAAACCCCAGGGCAGCCGTGTTTTCCCCAGCAGAGCAAAACAGCAGACTTAGAGAGGGGAGATCCATCTGGAAAGCAAACATTGTGAAAAGCATCCTGCTGTTCAGCCAGGATGAGCGTGCCCAAGGGCAACATCAGCCGTTTGTGGTGACGGCCAAGGATTGGGAGCAGGAAACCTGGTGTGGGAGATGACAGGCAGAAGTACGTTAAGATTCAACAAGAAAGGCAGGGAGGCTGGAAGAACCGCACACTGAAGCTTCAGATGGCAGGAGGAAGAACAGCTCTAACAAGGCCAACAAAGTCGCAACAGACTCAACCCCTACATGCTGATACACACTGTGATGACAACATCATGGCAATCCATCCAGGGCTTCCAGGGGATGCACTCCATCGTCTGCTTGGAATTGGGAAGGAGACATCCTTTTCTAAAGCCCAGAGTGAACGCACCCACTTAAGTATTATACTTTGGGCTTTTTTTTGTTTTTCTTTTTCCTTTCTTCTTCTTTGAACCATTCAGCCAAGAAATGAAACAATTTCTGCCTGCACTGATAGCGGAAATGCTACTGACTGTTTAGGTGAGATTAATTTCAGGATTGTGGCCAGACTGAGGAAATTGGTGGAAGACATCCTTCATAGCTGGATAATGAGGTTGCAGTCTTATGAGTAATTCTCCTGAGTTATGTGCCCGGCACCTTGGATGTGGGTGACGCATTCATTCTTTCCCTCCCTTTTTGAATGGAAAATGCCATCCAAGCACACAAACATAATATTTATTAAAAAAAACAACAAAAATCATGAGATGGAGGCACAGATTGCATCTCACTTGTACAATGTCCAATACGGCTGCTATCTAGAGGAGTTTGCCTAGTGGGTTCTCCAGGAACGTCCCCAGGCTGCAACTTAACCCATGCCTGTCAGATGTACACCATCCTCCTAAAACCTAAGTAGCCTCTGGGGTGGAAACCAGGACAGCGCCAAGACAAATCAACAGCCAAAGACACTGTCCTGTACACCTGTATTACACTTCTGATGCGGAGAGACCAACCCAGGCTTCCTCACTCCAACATTCACATCCTCGCTGCAGGGCCACCTTGTGTGTTCGTGCATGGTCCTACACATGCTGCAGGGACCAACTGTCTGTATAGATGCCATGTTCCTCCCAGCTTGATATGGCGTAAGTGGATTGCAACCAGCTCCCCCTTCTGAGCAAGCAAAGGCTTCCACAAGGACGTTACCTGAAGTTTTAGTGCTGTCAAAGCTCAGCTGCATGGAAACCAGAGCAGAGGAAGAGGGACTCTTTTCTGAAGATCTCTCTGCTCCGTCTGGACCCATCACCTTCCATTACTCAACTGCCTTTCTGGGAATTCTCCATGCCGTCCCCTATGCCATGCCCAGGCACTAGACATGAAAATAGCTTACGACAGTTCCTGCTGGCATGGCATCGACTCTGTTTCTCCTGGAGAATGAATTAGCAGATGGGACCAGTGGAAGATGGCTGAGCTAGAGAGCTGGACAACTGGAGTCTTTCCAATCCAGTAACTGCAGTCCAAAAGACTGAGGATGCAAAGATCCTCCAGGGTCAGAACCTCTTTCCTAGGGATAGGAACAGGGTCAAGGAAGATATGCAGGTGGCTGGTTACTGACAGGCTGTGCAGGCTAACTTATATCTGCATGGTTGGTTTTACTGTTCCTCAAATTCCCGCTTTGCTTGCTTATTCCCCAGTCAACCCACTGTGTAATTCCAGCAAAATAACCACAATACCGAAGAGCTTTTGAAATTAATATGATGGGCTCGCAAGCATCCTCTGTCATGCAGAACTAAAATTAAAACATACACCCAGCCTCGCCTCACTCCCTGAAATTCATCACGTGGAAACTTCCCTGCATCACGTCAAGAGACTCCCGACAGCTGAAAGAGCTAATGGGAAGCTGCATTTGCAGCAGCAGCAGCAAGAGCATCACTCTGCTGCTACCAGACTTCAAAGCAGGGTTCCAGCTCCATCACCATGCCTGTTCCAGCAGACCAACCACTGCTTGAGACACAAGGCTGCCTTTAGGGCACTGTCTCCTCCATGCACATGGACGATAGTCATCCTCCAATACAAATGGACATGGGAGGACCAGGAGAAGACAGGCTTCCCAATATTTTGGAGCAGCAAAAGGTGACCATGAGTGTTTTCTCAGAAACCATTGCTGAAAGTCTCATGTATGTTCTGGCTTTGCCACCACACTGACACAAGAGAAGTAAAACTAAAAGCCAAGAGAAAACCAAAATTACCTTAGTAAAAACCCCAAGGAGCAGGTGGGAGCAAACACAGAGTTCGGGGGCTACAACATCATGACACGTCACAAGGTTGGGCATCCCTAAGTAGAAAGAGCTTCTGAGAACCACCTGTGAAAGCATCTCCACCCACCATGCACATCAACTGCTTACCCTACAGAGAGGTATTGGGCCAAGACATGTAATGCTGCCCTACCAGACCAGAGCAAAACCCTGATATCCATGCTGCACCTGGCTTTAGGACTCTGAAACTCCAGCTGAGATGAGCAGCTCTATAAGAGGGAGCATCGGGACAGATGCTGACCCACAGCCCTCAAGGCAGTCAGTGTCCCATGGTGAA